GCTTAGTGTTCGGTTTATGGTATGTTTTCACTAAGCATAACGTTAGGGGTTGGACTACTGCTAGCCCTAGAGGCAGATCTATTGTTATTGGGGTTAGGGTGTAAGGTTAGGCATTAGGAGTTAGGATTAGAGTTAGGCATTGAGTTAGGGCTAGGGCTTCGTACAATGTTAGAATTAAAGTAGAGCAAGATTTAGGGATACAGTTTGGGTTAAGGTTAGGCTTAAAAATTAAGGGTTGGGCCAGAAGTAAGTGTTGCTAGGATAAAGATTTAGGGTCAGGTTTAGTGGAAGACTTAATGTTAGGGGTTGGGCTAGGACCATACATAGGATATGATCCAGGATTAGGGTTCGTGTTAGTGGTTTTTTTCAGTGATAGGAGTTAGGGTTAGGATTAGGATTACCATTAAGAATTACGGTTAGGGTTAGGACTACACAGGGGTTTTGTTAGGTCTTGGAGTAGGGCTTTGTCTATGGTTAGGATTAGGGTGTGGATGAGTTTGAGGGTAAGGGTTGGTGTTAGACTTAAAGTCAGAGGTTGGGCAAGGGCTAGTGCTAATGTTATTGTTAAGGGTAGAGTTTAGGGTTAAGAAATAGTCTGCCCTCCAGATTCTGGGTGTTGGCCACAAGTTGAATTCCTAGTGAAGGTCCCTTAGCCAGCTCCTACTTCAACTACTGGGATGGCAACTACCTCAGCACTGGACGACCCCAGTCCACCTCAGCCCCTCTGCCCTGGCAGTTCTTATTCTTCGGTTCCTTGATCATGGAAGCCTCGCCCCCTCAGTTTTGGGCAGCAGTCTCCTCTGGGCAAACTGAATGGCAGCCCACACTTTAGAAATGAGTTGAACACCTGATTTTTTTCAGGTGGCTCTAGCATCGAAATTTCAGAACTGTTGGAATGAGCATGAGAAACCGAGCTGTTCTAGGGATGGTCCTGAGTCCTGGTGTGGTGCTGCAGGGTTAATACACTGGACGGCAAGGTCGGGTTGAACCACAAGGTTGGCAGTATAAACCCACTAGCCGCTCTTCGGAAACCCTATACATGGTTGCTGAGTCAGAACCGATTCGATAGCACTTCACAACAGGGATGGTCTGGTTCTTTCCTTGGAGGACAACTAATATAGCTTCTTTGGCCTATTTCCTGCCCGTATAGTTCCAAGGCAGACAGTGTTCCCTCCTGTCATTCGGTCTCTATTCCCATCAGTCTAGGGTGCTAAGTTTCTGAATCGGGAGTTGATTAGATCCATTATTCACAGAGATTTTGTTAAATGTCTTTAATAAAAGATCGTGTAGCCATAGGCTTGGTGAAAATTCTAAGGCATGTGTTCTTAGTTTGTACAACAGAATTTGCCAAATCTTTAAGTTTTGTTTTCATTTTGCACAGTTCATTTTTAAGTCCATTTATTTCCTTTCACATTTTACAATAATCAGCAAGGAGACACTACACAGTCTCTTTAAGAACTTGCTTAGACATTTCATCAGCCAACTATCCAAGTTTATCACTTACAAGATCTACCTCTACCAAACATAAGAACATAATTCAGACAAGTGGTCACTGCACAAAAAGCACTGCCTTCTCTCCACTGCCCAACCACACATTTCAGTCCATCACTTCCTGTTCACACTTTACCAGAAGCACATTTAACATCTGCAGCGTCTAGCAACAGTCCCAAATCGGATAACAACACACGCATAAAGGTTAGGATTTCCAACACATATTTTGGGGGGACACAATTCAATCAATAACAGAAGGAAATGTGACGTTGGGGACTTGGAAGTTTAATATTGGGACTCTCCTAGAAGTTACCATATACATCTCTTATACTTTTTATAACTGTTGTCAACATAGTTAGTACCTTCCTGAGTTCTGATTTGCTTTTTAGAAATTTACTGGATGCAAGGGGACAGTTGTAGCCCCCAAATTCGTAACCAGATTTCCAGAAGTAACCCCTTGAGCTTGCAACTAGTGTCCTGGCAGGGTGCTAGGGAACCTTGTATTTATAGCTAGCAGTTCAGAAGTGCAGCTGTTTGAGGTTGTTGTCACGAGGAAACAATGTGAACCCCCAAGTCTACATACAGTTAATCAGAAGTAAGTGTCCTATGGAGCCCCTATCTTGAAGCTAGTGTATGAAGTGTTGGGCAGATGCAGACTTGTCCGCAGACAGTATTCCCTTTGTCCTGTAAGATTTGACCTAGAGCTGCGTGATTCATGTGCAGTTGATGTTCCTATCAGAAGGTATTCATCACACGCATGCTCAAGGTACTGAAACCATGGACAAGAATGGAGAAATGAAATGAAGAGGTGTATGAATACGGAATATCCGTAAAGACATCCTACAGAACACCATCAAATGTGCTAACATACTCATTATGGGGTTTTCAGGAGAGAGAGAAGCAGAAGAAATAATAGTCAAAACTTTCCCAAATTTGATGAAAGACACTAATCTACACATCCAAGAGGCTCAAAGACCTCCAAAGAAGAGAAACTTATAGAAATCTCTACCAAGACAAGTTATAATAAAATTGTAGGGAGCCTAAGACAGAATCTTGAAAGTAGCAAGAGAGAAGTAACTCAGGAGGTATATGGGATCGTCACCAAGACTAAAACCGTTCATCAGGCTGCTGGGGGCTAATGCACCAGACTGCAAAGTCATCTGAACTGCAAGGTCGGTGGTTCAAGCTCACCAGCTGCTCCCTGGGAACCCTATACAGGGTCGCTAGGAGTCAGAACCAACTCCATGACACTCAACAACAATGGCAATTGTCACTAGGTGACCTTTCCTTGTAAGAAATGCTTAAGCAACACTCCAGGAGGAAATGGAAGATGACAAGGCAGTAACTCGATGCCGTATGAAGAAACAAAAGTGCTGGTAAAAATAACCCTAGCAATAAAAAATCAAGTATCTTTATATTACTGATCTGCAACTCTGTTTTCTATATGATTAAGAAGGCAAATTTATGAACAATAATTTTAAGTCTGTACCCCTGCAGTTATGCTTTGTTGTTGTTGTTGTCTGACACTGAATCAGTTCCAACTCTCTTTATAGAGTTCCTCAGAGCAGTCAGTGGGTTTGAACTAGTGACCTTGCAGTTACCAGGTCAGTGCTTACCCTATAGCACAACACCAGAGCTCTATGCTAACAGGCATGAAAACCTTGCACTTTTGCAAAATACTGTATTTCTTATTGGAAATGCAGCTTTGATCTGGGTGCAACATAGAATATACACTAACTTACGTCATCAGTAAGGTTTGTACCATTAGTAGTGGAGCTTTAGTGGAGTGAAAGTGAGCTAAGGATATTTTCAACTTCATGTTGGTGTCCTAGCCCTTACATTATTCAAGGATCACCTGGACTTACTACCAGGTATTTAAATAACTATAGAAGAATATCAGGAACTGTCCATGAAAAAATTAGATTTTCTAGATGAAGTAAACAAATTTCAAGAAACTCTCAAGTTAGTAAAACCCAACTCAAGAAGAAATAAAAAAATATCAACATGTAACAAGTCAAGAAACTGAACCCATAACCAAAATGATACCAAAAAAGAAAAGAACAGGGCCAGAGGGTTTCTTTGTTGAATTCCACTAAACATAAAGGGAAATGCAAATTAAATATACGTCATCCCTACTAAGATGGCTCTGATTTATAAAGAGGATAAAAACGGGTGTTTGTGAGGATGTGGAAAACTGGATTCCTCATCCTCACAAACAGCTGTGAAAATGTAAAATGGCATGGCAGCTGTGGAAAAGCATGATCGTTCCTCAGATGGTTCAGTACAACAGCCAATGGTAGCTGTCACCTAACTGTCCATCAACATACAATGGGATATTTTCCAACCATCAAACGGAATGAAAGACTATTTTCACTAAAAGCAGCCAGATATGTAAGGTCACATATTATATGACTCCACTCTATCTTAAAGTCGGTTTGAACCGCAAGGTTGGTGGTTGAAACTCACCAGTTGCTCCTCAGAAACCCTACATAGGGTCGCTATGTGTCAGAACCTACTGGATAGCACTGAACAACAATTACATCAAACATCCTGAAGAGGCGTATCTAGAGACTAAAAGGAGATTTGCTGTTGCCAGGCTTTGGGTGAAGAGAATGGAGGGTGATTATTTCGTGGATACATGGGGGCTGTTTTCCAGGAAAACAATAAAGTTTTGAAAGTAGAGAGCGTGGCAGCTGTACCATGTTGCAAATGCACTAAATCTGTGTATTATGTAAATGTAATCTCAATTTAAAGACAGACATAAGATGCATACTACTACTACATTAACATCCCCAACAAGTTCTAGGCCAACAACCTGCAAAAAATATGTGATTATCCACAATAAAGGGGGGGATTTATATAGATATTATTGTTGTTGTTAAGTGCCGCTGAGTTGATTTTGACCCATAGCAACCCCATATAAGTCCAAGGAGCAACTGGTGAGATTGAACCGCCAACCTGCAGTTCTAAGAGTTTTGCAGTGTGGTGCATTAACCCACAGTGCAACACCAGGACTCCGGTTATTATATAGATGTTGTTGTTGTTAAGAACCGTGGAGTCGGTTCCGACTCATAGCGACCCTGCACAGGGTTTCCGAGGCTGCAAATCTTTACGGGAGCAGAAAGCCTCATCTTTCTCCCACGGAACAGCTGGTAGCCTCATGTAAATTCAGGTCATGCCATAGAAATGGAATACCCCTCCGCATATACCATATTGCTGGCCAAGGAAGAATTTGATTCACAGTTTCAAATTCTTTTTCACGTCACAATTTATTTATGTCTTTATTAAGTGAGCAAAGCTAAACTTCCCTGTTAGTTTATCTTTGCTCACTTCCGCTTTTAGTACATCTTTGACCATCACAATGGGTCATTTTATTTTATAATAGTCTAAATGGTACCCTTTTCACCTCCTTTTCATTTCTATTTCTTGAGAAAAATATATAGAAATGCTTCCAATACTTTCGATTGAGTCACTGTATATTTTTACCTGACTTATAGATGCAAACTCACCTGAGTTTTTCCAAAGCACTCTCTCTTTCAATGCGAAGTTTAGCTAAAGATGTGTTCTCATCTTTGAATTTTTCTATTTCTGTTTCCAATTCAATAACCTTCTCTCTCAAAACCTGGGATCGAGCACTGTCACCTAAAAGATAGGCCATAAAAACTAAGCTTCACAAAAGGTCTTTAGAAGCAAACATATTAACATTAACCCTTAGATATTTATGCCATTAAAATAGATTTAAAATCATGCTTCAAGAAATAGAACAAAAAAATTTAATTAGCCTAACTTCCTGAGATCATGTGAATTTAGATAATTAAGCTATCCTACAGCAAAATATTACCAAACTGCTAATATTGTATTATACTATATAATCTAAAAAAGAACTTTAAAACAAGAAATAATTGGGCTACTCAACATCAAAAAGAACATTCACCTCATAGTTACGATCCAAGAAAAACGTATTACAATTTTTACCCTATCAAATTTGCTGTTTTAAAATAAAATAGCCAATTATTCAATACTTCAATTAAAACAAGTGTTTTATCCATTAGTACTGCCTTTTGGGGGGAAAATGTGTATATAAATCATCAAGTTAAAATACAGCTATCTACTCTTTGGTCCAGTTAATTTACTTCTGAAATTCTAGGTAAGAATGAATAATAAAAAAACATACTAGCATTATAATAGTAAAAAACAATCTGAGTGTTCATTATTAAGGATATGACCAAACAAAATTATGTTCTATTCATACAGTGAAGTGGTCTGCAACCATTTTTAAAGTACACAAAATTCTAAAAACACAGGCAATATAAAGAACAAACTTGCTCAAAAAGAAAGAAGTTATAAGAGTAAATACAAAAGTTTGGATCAAGGATTCCAGTTCATATATGCCCAGCTTTATTCCACACAGTAGAGAAGGACATCATGCTTGATAATGTGGGAGGACCAGGGAGATGGAGGAAGACCCCAATGAGGTGGACTGGTACAACGGTAGCAACACAGGTAACAACAGTTGTGAAGAGGTACAGGAATGGCCTTCAAAAACGAGTTTTTTTTATGCCATGGGGAAAAATGATTTTAAGCTCATGATTAATATCAAAATTTTAATATAAAAATTTAAAAATAACCTCAAGTAGATATTTACCCAAATCACTGAAGTTTTGCAACAAGTTTATGGAACTGCTGCCCCACATAAAACAGTTTTTAGATGGAGCAAGCATTTTAAGGAAGACCTCCAAGAATGCAAGGCAGAGAAGTCAGCTGAGAAGGGCATCTAATTGTGGGAATTCCAAATGGGTAATCTTGACAGATTTTCTCAAAGGCCACAGAAAGATCACAAGGCTTGTTATAAAAAAGTTTCAAGAAATTTTTTCCCTCTTATATGCCTCTATATTAAAAATACCTAAGAAAAATGATAAAGGAAATAGCCCAAAATGACATAGTAGTTAACTTTGGCTAGTTCCATTATAAATATTATTGCTACAATACTTTTTCTTACTACAAAGTATATTACTCTTAAAATCAAGCTTAAGCTATTATTTTTAAACACCTATGCTCAGCTAGGTATTCTGAATATACGAGGTAAGTTAAAAAGTAGTGCTGGGGGCAGAGGGCTACAAAGGCAAGAAGTGACTGGCTTACAAGCTTTCAAGAGGGAACCTAGATCCAGAGGGCCTGGAGGAAGGTAGACTCTCCAGTGAGTAGTATTCAATCTGACTAGTCGGGGCTGATGCAATGAAATGCAGACGGGGCTCTTGTGATACAATAGTGAATAATTATTATCATGACTGATTGTGAGGGTCGGAAATGTAAAGGTAGACGTTTTATAGCAAGGAGGGGAGTGATTAACTTTTCAGTCTAGGAGCAGAGGTCCCTAGGACCATCAAGAGAGAAGAGCAGAGAGCAGGACCCTACCCAGAGAAGCAGTGATGCCTGAAATGGAGCCAGAGATGATGACGTGGAGCGATGGAGCAGCTGGAGCCTTTAGATCCAGAGAGGGAGAGCAACTGTGTGCTGAAGACCTGGGGGGTACGGGGGAAGGATTGCATGGAGGGGATTGTAACCATGGCAATGAGACGATATACAATAGAATGAATGTAAAACTGATGTTCTCCCATGTAAACTATCACATAATTCACAAAACATTAAAAAAAAAAAAAGTAGTGCTATAATATTATAAGCTTTTATTAAACAAAAATATCAACTTTTCTCCATCTGGGTCTGTGCACTTTGGAAGGTAGTGTTTCCATCTCTCTCTTTGCTCAGAGATTTCTGTGCTTTTCAATTCACATCAAAATGGCAGTGTTGGCATCCTCTAGGTACTCGTATGGCGTCACTTTTTAGTGTTCTTTAAATTTCAGGAACAAAAAGAAGACTGAAGAGGCAAGATTAGGGCTGTAGGATAGATAGGGTAAGGTTTCCCAATGAAATTCTCATAGGGCAACGCTTACTACCTTTAAAGAATAAGCAGGTGCATTGTTGTGACGGAAAAAAAATGTCTAGGCACACGTTTCCTGGTCTTTTTCTCAACAATGCAGTTTTCTGGTTTCTTATAACTTCTTCATAACCAGCCACCATGATCATTCTATGGCCTTTGAGGAAATCTATCAAGATTTGTTGTTCTCGTTGTTAAGTGCCATCGAGTCAGTTCTGACCCATAGCAACACTGTTCCCAAGACAGATGCCTTAATTTTCCGAGCCGATTTCTCTGTTTTGAATTTAACTGGTCCAACAGATCCCCTAGCAAGCCACTGTTCTGATGGAACCTTTCTTTGAAGAGACTGAGACTAGAGTATTTATTACTGAGAGAACTTGTCTGCAGTCATCCGTGGATCAAGGGCATGTTTAAATCTGTTCTGTTCGAAATAAACCTATGCATGTATGAACTTGAACCCGAGCAGCAATACTTTTTGGACTAAACTTCTTGAATAACAATATCATGGAGAGAAAAGTCTACCACATCAACTGAATACTATACAGTCATTAACAGGCATGAGGTAGATGTGTGTGTCTGTACGTTATAACAATCTTCAGAACTGATCATAAACAAGGTGCCAAATAGCACAAAAAAGCACGCTTTCACTTGTGCAGATAAAGGGAAGATTATATACACACTCACATGTACATCTTTATATTATGAAATCTTTTTAAGTAACACAAATAGCATACTAACTATAGCACCTCTACGAAGGGGTCTGGGTACTAAGGTCTTTCCCCTCATTGTTATACTTGACAAGCTAATAATGCACAAGGTGGTAAAAATTCAATTTCAAAAACCATCTTTTTTTTTTTTTTTTAAAAGTGGGCAAAAGTAACCCAGTAATAAGAAATGTGCACAAATTATAAGTTAGGTGGTGTTCCATGGCTGTAAAAAAAAAAAAAAACACCCTTAAATGTTGTATCACTTTATTATAAAGTAATTCAACTGGGAAGCCCTGGAAATAAATACTAAGATACAGGCTGAAATTTGAAAGCATAATTCATCCAAACGTCTTATATTAGTGACTATTAATTTAGACTCAGAAAATAAGTGAAATTTGACTCACCAACTCACTTGACTTTACTGAGCAAACTAGAAACTTTAGATTTGAAGCATTTTCTTGGACAACTTAATAGTAAATTACACATTAAACTTGTACTGTCATAATAATGTATTTCAGACTGCTGGTGTGGCAGTTCCGACCCACCATCTGCTCCTCAGAATCCCTATACAGGGTTGCTGAATCGGAACCGACTCAACAGCATTTAAAAGCAGTAACAATATGTACTTTAGGAAGCCCAGTGGTTCTGTAGGATAAGTACAAAACTGAACCCCAAGGTCAGAAGCTCCAGCCCACCAACTGTTCCATGGGAGAAAGATGATGTTTTCTTCTCCGGCAAGGATTTTTAAAGCCTTGGAAACTCTATGCAGGGTTGCTATGAGTCAGAACCCACTCCACGGCATTTAACAACAATACATATTTTATAAAGCTCTGACTTACCAGGGAGCTGATCTTCACTAATGTTTAACTTGGGTTCATTTTCCAAATGTGAATCTGATTTTCGTTTCGGTTTCAGTGAAGGGAAGAATTTCATCACAAGATCTGATGTGGGAGGAGGGCTTAGGCTCCTGCTGGATTTGCTTAAGTTGTCTCCTTTCTTGACTGGTGCAATCTTTCTTTTTATTGTTTTGTCTAGTATACATAGCTCACTCTTATTAGGGTAGCTTGCCTGGGGACTCTTATAAACAGCTCCATCACCAAGAATAACGTCATGCTTACATGAATTCTCTTCTAGGTCGCTCCACGTTCTTTCATCATCAAAGTCAATTCTACTCATACTTAAGGATGAGGCTTCTCTTGAGGGTTCAGAAACTTTCTCGTTCACGCTTTCAATTCTGATCGAGTCATCACTACTATCTTTATCTGACAGATCTAGCTCAATGTCCCTACTTTTATCTGCTTCTTGAGTCCCAGTGTCCCTAAAAGGTCCCTTACCATCACAGACGTCTGGATTCTCTTCTCTGCTGCTAAAGCACTGCTCTTCATCTTCAGGTGATGGCTTTATGGTCACATCAAATTGTTCCTCAGAGTCAGTGCCACTATCGCTGCTCCTAACACTGTCTTCATCAGGGCTTCCATCCCACCTCGGCTGATTTGCACAAGTGCTTGTGCTTCTTAGAAATGCTTCCCTGTGGATTTTACAAGACTGTTCCTTCAGCCCAGTGGGTGAAGACAGGGAACCAAAGTGTCTGGGTGTGACTTCACACTCGCTCGTCTTTTCATATTCAAACTGGTCACGATTTTCATTTTGGTTACACTGACTAACAGAATCCACCGGACTGGTTTTCTCCAGATGCACAGCTTTGACAGGGGTAGAAGAGAGCCGACGACCTTTACAAACTTGTTGATCCCTTTCTAAGATTTTCAGTACAAATGAGGAATTACTAGAAAATGATATTTCATCAGCAGCTTGTTCTAAAAACAAAAATTCATCTAATTCCAAATTCTCCTTTTCCTTTTCTCGTTCCCAATTCTCTAATTTTTTCTGAAAGGAAACCTCACAAGAAGACTCTACCTGTTTTACAGTCTCACCTACCAGGTTCTTAGAAGCCAGGCCATTGACCAGCCCTGTCAAAAGAGGGAGGTTCTCTTTACCCGGTGCCTTAGTCCAGACTTTGCAACCAATATCACAAGGCTTGGTACATTCCAGTATATTGTCTTTATTATCAGATTCAACTTTTTTTTCTGATGTGATCTGGTCTCTAAACTGTTCATCATATTTCTTCCCTGTCTGTATTTTCGATTGAGAGACACTCTTTCGATTATTATTGCTCTTAGGTAGTTTTGGTTTCTGACTGAGTGGGACAGAACCACTCTTGGTTCTAGATTTACTGTTCTTTTTAACAGTAGCGTTCTCTGTACATGGTTCTTTATTCAGAAGAGCAATCTTCCGCTGGAATTGTGGTCTATCTACTTTAAACTGAGGTTGGTCCTCTGCAGTGCTCAGGTTTGTGACTAGTTTACTTTCTTTCCCTTTCTGAAACTGAGATTTAGCATTAGTAAATCTAGCTAAACCTTCTCCTCTTTTTAAGAATGGGTGTTTTGGTTTTGCTTTGATTAACAATGATCCTTCTGTTTCCTAAAATTAAAAAAATTTGAATTAATTCTTCTATTTCTTAAATATTATTAGTATATTCAAACAATCTCAAAGTTTCATTTTCTTTTGTTTTTATTCTTATCATTAAATTCTATTGGGGATTATTTTGTCCTGTAATCTTTTTTTCAATTGTAGTAAAATATATGTAACAAAACATTTGCCAATTCAACAATGTTTACATGTATAATTCAGTGACATAAGAGTCACCATGTTATGCAAACATTACCACTGCACAATTATTTTTAAAGCAAATTATAAACGAATCTCTAAAACCTTGGAATAAATCATATAAAACAGTTGAAATGCTAACCCTTTGTTTTTGTTTCAATTCCTGCTCTTCCAACCGAATTTGTTCTTCCAAGAAATCTTCAAATGTCTGTTTCCTTTCTCTAATAGCAGCTTTAATAGGCCTATTCAAAAGTAAAGAATATCATTATTTAACGAGTAAAGGATGATGTGAATATTTTATATGCTAATACTGACATCCCTAAACACACTAGGCACTAACTTTTTTCAAAGTCAACATAGCCTTTGAGAATCTAATAAAAGCTACGATCCCTTCCATACCCCAAATACAAAAATGCACATTTTGCATGGGATTTTGCATACTACACTTAGACTATATTAACACTTTTGAATCCCATCTGCTGATGAAACATTAATTTTTGGAATAACGTAGGAACTAATATCTTTAAAATGTATTTTTAAAAGTTAATTAAATATGCATTTTAAAATTAAGAAGGATCCCTAACAATGTTAAGTAGAGAAACAATAAAAAAAGTTACTTTGTCCAAAGGATAAGCATTGGACCACAAGGTTGGTTTGAACAGCATGGTCAGCAGTTCAAACCCACAAGCTGGACCTCAGAAACCCTATCCAGGGTCACTACGAGTTGGAACTGACTTGATGGCACTTAACAACACTTAATAGTATAGAGTCCTGATGTGGCACTGTAGGATAAGCACTGGACTGTTAACATGTAAGGTTAGCAGTTCAAACCCACCAGCCACTCCACAGAAACCCTATACCAGAGCTACTTAACAACAACAATATATAACACATACTAACATATTTCAAATACATAAAAAATATATAAACAACCTCAATATAGGTATTTCATCTTTACCATAAATTTGTATTCTTTAACTAGACTAATAATGCAACTATAATTTACAAATGATACTAAATATGAGAAAAATACTTAATTTTTCTCTAAAATAGGATTTACCTAACTATTTAAGAGGCAATTCATTTATCAAGATGTTTATCTTAGATAAAAACACTTTCTTCAAGTTTTCTAATACTATGTCAAAGCTTATGTATCAACCCAGCTCTTTGCTTTGCCAACAGTATGTGATATTCTCCAGTCTTTATACTTAATAGGTTATGTCTTCAGCCTTTATACTTAAAAGCATATTTAAATGAAGTTAAGAAAACTGGATTATTCAAAGAAAGAAAGAACTCAGTCACAAAGGAAAGCTATTTCCTGTCACATTTCTTACTCCTGTCAACAAGGAGGGTACCTTTCTTCAATATTAACCACTTGAGAGGAATCAAGTTGTTTGAAGTGCGTATTGTTCCCTCCCTGAATCTGTTCCTTCATTTTCTCCCAATGTGATGAAATACCTTCTCCTAGGATCAAAATTAACAACAGGATAAAAATTAGCAATGCTTTAATTTAAGAAAAGCAGATTCTAATAGAGTCTTAAAACTTGAGGATTTTATAAGTTACTGTGCCAGAAAACTTTTTAATTATAAGGAATGTATGACAAACATTTTCAAACTTTCAAGGATTTCTTCAATCTGATAAAGAAAACATATAGACCCCCAACTAAGACAATCTGACGTTTTTCAAAAGGTTAATGCTATGAAGAAATACACCAAAAAAAGGAGCGGGGAGCTTTTCAAGATGAAAAAAAGACTGTTGTTGTGAAATGCCTCTGAGTCAGTCCCGACTCATAGTGACCCTGTGAAGGGTTTTCAAGACTATAAATCTTGCAAGAGAAGAAAGTCTCATCTTTTTCACAAAGAATGGCTGGTGGGCTCAAACCGCCAGCCTTGTGGTTCACAGTCCAGAGAGTTATAAAGATCAAATGTAAGGCATGAAGCTGACTGGATTCTAGTTTTTTAAAAAAGTATTAAAAGCATTTCTGAGATAATAGAGATTTCAAAACAGGTCAGGTATTAAAGAATTGTTATTTTATTTAGATATGAATATGTGACAATTAAGTAAGACAATCTATACATAATATTTTCAATAAAATAGTTTGGCAAAATAGATAAATACAGGTGATGTCACAGATACAATTATGTTGTTGTTCTGACTCACAGCAACCTGATTGATACAGGGTTTCTGAGGAACGACTGGTGTGGGTTTGAACTGCCAACCTTGAGGTTAGCAGTCCGGTGCTTATTCAATAGTGCCATACCAGGAGTCCAGATACATAGATAGAGTAAATATAGCAAAATATAAACTGTTAAATCAAAGTGATGATCATTACATTGGCTTTCACCTATTCTGAATATTTGGGATTTTCCAAAATAAAAGGCTAAGGGGTGTTTTGTTTAAAAAACATTTTAAACAAATATGAAAGAATTAACTCTGAATAAGAAATTAGGTCTTATATAAAAAATTTTAAGTGGTGAACTATTTATTCTTATTTGTATTCTTCTGTAACTTAAAATACTCAAAATAAGCACATTCATGAAAGCACATTCCTAATATAAAAAAACATGGTAAACAACTTTATCCAACCCAAAGAAGATTAAGTATCAGTATATAATTTGATGAACACAATGTTTTTATTGTTGTTGCTGTTAACTTGTTATGACTCATAACAACCCTGTAAAAGGTTTCCAAAGCTATAAATCTTTACAGGCGAACAAAGTCTCATCTTTCTTCCATGGAAAAGCTGGTGGGCTCCCACTGCCGACCATGTGGTTAGCAGTCCAGTACTTATCCTACAGAGCCACCACACTCCTGATAATTTGCCCAAGACCACTGAAAGGCAGGCCATGAAGAGACCAGAACAGACCATAAGCACTTCCAGTGTGGGGCAGGAAGGAAATCACAGGCAGTCTTCCAGGCTATGGACGCAATCTCTTCCTGGGTCTTTAAAACTTGAAATTCAAGCAGAGGAAGTGCACAGGTTCCTACCAGTTTGTCTTTAGCGCAAGAAAGCAGCCCTGGTGGTCCTGTGGGATAAGCACTGGACTACTAACCACAAGATCAGCAGTTCAAACCCACCAACCATTCCTTGGGAGGAAGATGAGGCTTTCTACTCCTGTAAAGATTTATAGTCTTAGAAATCCCTAAAGGGTTATGAGTCAGCAGTCCTGGTGTTGCACTGTAGGATAGAGCATTGGGCCACAAGTCAGTTTGGACTGAAAGGTGGGTGGTTCAAACTCACCAGTCGCTCCTTGGAAACCCTACACAATGTCATTATGAGTCAGAACAAACTCGACAGCACTTAACAACGATGACAAGTCGGCAATAGCAGTGAGTTTAGTGGAGTTTTTTTAGTGCAAGAAAAGCCTTGCATCAGGTTTTTAAAAGCCTGTACATCAGCAACTGAAATGAGTAAGGGGAGAAAGATGAGGTGTTCTGTTCCCACAAAGGTTTACCATCTCTAAAATCCGATACAGGGCTGCTATGAGATGGAACCCACATTATGAAACTTAACAATAGGTTGGTTTAATCACTTCAAAATGAAGACAACTGCAGCTGAGGACTCTAGGTTCATGGGAAGTAAAGGACTAAGAGATGGAGGCCAGGAGGCAGACTTGCAGCAGACTTTCAGAATGTGCCCTTCGTTGGTGTAAATTATTACATACGCCTGAGTGTTTTAAAAAAACAAAAAACATAAAAATGCTAAAGTGAATAGAGAGAAACACTGGTAACTGATGGTACATGGTACACTGGTAACTGATGGTACATAATTGTAATGAAACAACGCAAGGTCAACAGTTCGAAACCACCAGCTGTTCCGCAGGAGAAAGATGAGACTTTCTGCTCCCGTAAAGATTTACAGCCTCGGAAACCCTGTACAGGGTCGCTATGAGTTGGAACCGACTCACATAACCACCACCACCAATGAAACAAGGTGTATGATTTGTTGAATGTGAAACTGATGATCTGCCCTGTAAACTTTTCCTCAATCCACAATAAAAACCTTAAATTAAAAAAAGAAAAAAAGAAGGCAATTTATGCAAACATTAAAGCAGGATTTTGAAGACAGTGGCACCCCACTCAAACACGGCGGCCGCTCTGAATGTGTGCAGTTCTCCGCGGTCCTGTCAATCACCCAGACTCACACATTAGGCTCCTGGAAGGGCTCACTGAGCTCACCCATGGCTTCCACTCCAGGGCTTTGACCAGTAACTTTTCCTGTTTAGGTTACCATGCCAAATCCCTTCAATTATGACCATTTCAACCTGTTCCTGTTTAGCTTTAAGGCCATGACAGAACCAGTTGAAAGCCGTGCATTAAAGGACGTAGGAATTGTCCATAAGTCAGATATTTGTAACCCAAGGGACTGTAGTATATACAACAGGGCTTCAAAATGTTCGTGGAAAAAAGGGATGAAAAAATATTGGAATTTTTCCACAGACTTTTTTTTTTAATGTTCCATTGTGAATTATGTGGTAGTTTACATGGGAGAACATTAGTTTTACATTCATCCTATCATATATCGTTTCACTGCCATGGTTACAATCCCCTCCATGCATCATAAAGCAACCAAAGGATACATCCTACAAGCCTGTGCCGCCCACCCCACCCCCCATCGTCAGCACACAGCCCCTCTCCCTCTCTGGGTCTAGAGTCCCCAGCTGCTCCACCTCTCCACATCATCGTCCACAGGCTTTTTAAAAACCCCTTGCACATTGAAAAAAAAAAAAAAAAAGGTAGAACAGGACTGAAATAAAAAAGAGACTAGAATAAAATACACCCCAAACTGCTAACTTCAATGTGTGTTAGAGCTCCTGCAGAGCAGCGGGGTGACTTTGAGCCACTGACCTTTCAGTTAGCAGCCAAGCACTTTAAGCAGTGTGTCACCCAGGCTCCCTGCACAACATGTAGGGCCTTACATTACACGTCAGCTGTCACAGATGGGGAAACGGGGCACAGCAGTTCGTTAAGTACAGGTAAAAGTAACACAACTCACCAGTACGACGGTGGTGGTTTTCTTCCTTCAAATCATTTTCTTTCACAAGTGCTTCTTGAGACTGCGCCTCATAAAACAAAGTGGGAAGAGCACCCCTTTTTGAAGTTGAGGCAAAATCTTGATGACTAGTTCTACAGAAGTTGTTTGGCTCATCCGATAAAATGTTGGAAGTGTGTGTTTTTTCTTGAGATGGCTTCTGGTGGACAGACGGCGGTGAGAAATGTGTGGCTTTGGCTACGGCAGCAGGATCCCACAGAGATCTGCTCTTCTGGTTCTGACCGTCAGGCAGCAGAGGCGAAGCTTGTAACGGAAAACAAAACTCTTTAGACTACTTGCAGCCCCCACCCCACAAGGATTCAACTACCACAACCGAGCATTCTGATCAGGAAAAGAAAGTCCCTGCTAGAATGGAAGAAAAATATACAACAAAACGCAAATGCATAAAAAATACCAGACACCTCCAAGACCGCTGCCCTAAGCCACCCTTCTCATATGAATGAAGCCACTCCCCGAGGCCATTTCTCAACCAAATAACAGACTGGCCGAAATAATAATCCTGGTGTGGTTCTCTAGGCATTGGACAGCTAACCACAAGGTTGGTGGTTCAAATTGACCAGCTGCTCCTCGGAAACCCTCCTTATACAGGCCCACGAGGAGTCAAAACCAACTCAATGCCACTTAATACCAGCAGCATGAAATAAACAATACCCGTGAGCAAAGTGCTCCACAGAACAATTACACAAGGCTGAAAACAAAGATAAGAGGGCAGAAGAGGCAGCAAAACTAGACCAATGGGGTTAAGAGAGCCCGTGGTAGAACAGGGAGCACTGGGGCACACTGTGGAGATTGCAGTCAAAGTCACACAGTTGGTAGCTGAGGTATTAGATGAAAAACAAATCTGCTGTGTCAACTTTCACCTAAAGCACAATAAAATGTTCTAAAAAACAAAAGATGAGATTGTAAGTGCGTAAGGACACTC